ATTAATAGTTGCTTTAGTTTTTAGAAAGAACTTCGGCGTCCTAACTTCCGATGAAGCTATGCTTTCATCACGAGGTGTCATAATTCTTCTAAATAAAAATCGTTCAATTCCCAGAACAGAGCCTAAAATAATTAATTTGCCTATTCTTGTTGGCGTCTTTTTAACAAAGTTGTTTTCTACAGGATGGGGTTGCTAATCTCATACCCAACCTTCCTCCATTGTATGAGCGTCGGATCGGCAGTAAATCTCGAAGAGCAACAGGCAGAGTTCGATGGAGAATCCTGGTATGTTCTATGATACGAATGATCGAGATTATTCTAGTATGGACGAAATCGACTGTAAACTCAATGATACAACAGCTGGCTCAACAATACACTTCAAACACTGGAACCGAAGAAGATTATAACAGTACTAAAAAAGCTTGGCATTCAAAAAAGAGAAAATACATGTGGAACAACTGTGTATATATATTATAAAAAAATGTTATCTCACATAGGAAAGTTAGTAAACTTAGTGATACGAACCAATTGAAAAAACAATTAACATCATTCAGAAATACTAAATTTAAAAAGAAGGAACCTACTTAAGATTATCAATACAAGAATCCAATTACCATTTATTAACATAAACTAGATTCTTCTAACAATAATATACTTAACCAATAAGTGAATAACATCAATAATAAGTTAGTAACATGTTATCTATGACGCTCAATTAAATCTGTGATGTATGCTATTAATGTTGACAAATATAAATAGGATATAATACTAATCAAGAGTGGAAAACCTAACAACAGAAGGCTATAAAGTTATGAAACAAATTACATACAAAATAAGTTTTACCTAACATAACTAATCTATTCAAAAGTTTCATATCACTATCTAACATAACAATTAGATATCAATATTTACTGTAATACATTTATATTGATATACAATTATTGGTATTGTAGTGAACAAGAACACCAGTAGGGAGATTTGTATGTATTCGGGCACAAAATAGTAAATGTTTTATTTGTAAAATGTCTATCAATCATCCCAAAATGACTCAGACTTCATTGTTCTTACATTTCTATACAAATTACATTCTGTTTCCATTCTTTATTGTTCAATCTTCTTATCTCTCTTCTGCCAGACATTCTTATCATGACTAATGTCATATACTACTTATGTCGATATAAGTAGCACACATGCTACAGTATAACTTATTTTCAATTATTAATAATATATAACAATGTATATCGAGATATTATAATTCATATCTTATATACTATTTTATTCTTTATCCTTAAACTAAATCAAATAAAAACTGTGATATCTATCTATCTATTCATTTTTCTTTCTTTTAAAATGCATTGAATAAATTAAATTTCTATTTCTCAAAGTTTTTCTGACCTAGTGAAATAGTTTTCATTGTTTCCTACGGTTTATTATTATTATTATTATTATTATTGCTACTATGTTAATCAACCAAATAACAAAATAATAATAATAATAATAATGCGAAATTTTCAATCGTTTCATTTTTCTCTCTTAATCCAATCCTTTCACTTTCCAATAATTGTCTACTACCAATTCAAACTCTGGCATCGTTTTCAACTCATTGACCTCATCAGGTAATTAGGTCATTAGTTATGGACTATCAAAATTAAAGTGATTAGAGGAATAATGGGGCGAATAACAATAACAAATATAGTTAAACTATTTTTTCTTTCTAGTAAAAAGTAATCCAGTAAAAAAAATTTTTTTATACTTGACTAAGTTAAATAAAATGATTATGGTCAATTGGTAAACTGTGAATAATGATTAAAATAGAAGAAGAAGAAGAAGGAGAAGAAGAAGAAGAAAAGAAAGAAAAATCGAGGAAAGAAAAGGAAAGTTATTGTTATTATTATTATTGTATCCCAAGACGAGATAAATGATAAGCGCTGCGTATTATTTTTTTCTAAGCGTTTATAGTAATCGTAGAAAAATTGATTTGATATTTTCTGGTTAGAAAATTTTACAATTCTATCTAGTGATATAGACAATTGAAAACGGTGTATAGAAAACACATGCTGATTTCAGAAATTAATTTCAGTAAATGTGTGAGTGCGTGTGTGTGTGTGTGTGTTTATGAATCTCACGTGCGGGATTGTGGATGGCACTGCTGAGGAGTCCTATACTAGGATGAAATGGCGGTTCTGTGCTTCCAAGTTTTCAATGGTAATCTAATATGGTTTCAATGGAATGTGTGACAGTCCAATTCTGTTATGATTATGGTTGAGATATTATTAAGATATGAGCCAAAAAATAATCGAAGTTTAAAGTGGTCACGATAAACCCTAGATCTCTTGAGTTGTAATCGCTGGCGAGGTCGTTTGTCAGCGCTTCTCAGTAGTTCATATATTCAGAAAAAAAAGCTGTAATATGCTTTCAAGTTTTCGAATTTTAAACAATCTCATTAAAAAACCTATATGCTAACAGAATCATTACACTTTAGGGGTTGTGGAGATTGTTTAGATTTTGATTGAGATCATGAACCAATTGATGTTAGACCACCATTGAAAACCTGGAAGCACTGGACGGCCGTTTCGTCCTATTGTGGGACTCTTCGACAGTACGCATCAACGACCCCACTCGGGAGATTCAATGGTAGTCTAACATCAGTCAGTTCATGATCTCAATCAAAATCTTAACAAACTCCACAACCCTTAAACTGATAATTACCATGTGCTCACTAGTGTCTAGCTTCGTGAGAAAGTTCTCGGAGTTCTAGTGAGAAGCCGTGACTAGTGGAGCTAATCTCTGTCGGGTAGAGACAGGTATCTACCTCAGTACAGTGGAAGATGGTAGCGAAATTTCGTGGATTGGTTGATATTAGACACTAACACCATTGAATGCCGGTTCAGTTGTCCAGTAGGTTAAACGCTCGCGCGAGAGACTGACAGGTCCTGTGTTGGGGTCTTTCGAAGGGCGGAATCGTTGATGCGCACAGTTGAGGAGTCCCACACTGGGATAAAACGACTGTCCAGTGCTTCCATGTTTTCTATGGTAGTCTAACTTCATTTGACTCATAATTTCAACCATTGAAATTATAAACTGTTATTATGCAATTTACTGTTCTTAAGTTATGTCCAATTTATTGATTACAGTCTCCCACGTTCACAGACACATTTTGACTTGATCTTGTATGAATGTTATTTCCTACTTTATGGTGTGATGTGATCTGTTTGGCTGGTATATAAACCAAGCATGTTTGAAATAAACGATTCGCATAGTGGAAGCTGTTACTAGCATTCTGGACTCAATTGGACGGGCTAGACGAATAAAGGGCCAATATGGAAGCTAGGTTGCTCATACCGAATGAACGTCATTCGTTTGGTGTAGTACTAATATTGAATAGGTCCTATTTTGATTAGCGAATAAATCACGTGATAACTAGCCGGGTTTAAAGTCACAACAGATTGATATGACATATATGTTAAAATGTAATAAGATAGTAATCGAAAATTTGAATTGTTATGAGGTCAAATAAAAATGACAACTGGCTTCTTGAAAATATATAGATCGTCTTCAGTGAGGTTAATCTATCAACTACTTCATTGAAACTTAGTAAAGCTACATTTCGGTTGCTAATTAATTATTTGTTTTTAAAAAAAAGCTTAAAGACCTCCACATTATAAACCGTATCAATTATGTGTAACGCATACATACATGAATGAACAATCTCATTCATTGCCTTCGTAAATTTTCTTCAGTTTTTAAATACTTTACTTTCTAAACTGAATTGGATAGTGATTAACAATTAAATCCAAGATGAACCTATTGACCTATGTGACGAAACGGCCGTCCAGTGCTTCCAGGTTTTCCATGGTGGTCTAGCTTCAATGGATTCATGATTTCAACCAGTGAAATTTCTAAAATCTCCACACAATCCCTTCTGATGATATTGTTCAGTTGAAAATACTTGTGTCCCATCGTTTATGTTCACACTGAGACTCTAACTCAATATCTTTCACTTAAAACACTAACACGTTATTCATTTATTTATTGACTTCAGATAGCCGATGGTTTGTAATAATGAAGACAAATTATAATTCAGTTGTAAGGGTTTGATCCTTGCCACTATTGATGTCGAGATCTGATAGTCATCAGTGTAACTATGTTTTACAAACAAAATGCTTATACATGAATTTCAATATCAAGGTAATTCGCTTAGGATACACAGATATCGAACTGACTGATCAGTTGAAGTCATTAACTGAGACATTTCAAGCCATTGAACAGAATTAAATCATCTACTGTGGTTTGAGAAATAATATGTTATCATTCATCTATAATTACAAACATTCATTTCACTCAAGCTGTAAGCAGTTGATGTAGTGAATTCATAAATCAATTATTACTTTGATCATATTTTATAGATTTATAACTGATAATATACCTTACAAGTAATTAGTACATTATTTCTTGAAGATAATTATGTTAAACATTTTTTGATTGAGATCGTGAACTGATTGATGTTAGACCATCGTTGGAAACCTAGAAGCACTAGATGGCTGTTTTGTCCTATTGTAAGACTCCTCAGCAGTGCATGTCCATGTTCCCGTGGTCGAGATTCGAGCCCAGGGCCTTCATGATCTCAATCAAAATCTTAATAATCTCCACAACCTTTTTTAATGCTAAAAAATTAGTGGCGTCCTCAGTAAACTAAACTATTGACAATAATACTAACAACTACCATAAATAGATTCAAACAAACAAGAAATAAACGTCCTTAGCAGGCATTCTTAATCCATAGAGGATCAGACATAGGCTCTTCAATTTTGATGCCTAAAGCTTAACCTTCAATTCATTATTCAAAAGCTGTTCAATGCTTCCTGGTCTCCATTGGTTATTCACAATTTAGATCAAATTCAAAAGTTTACAATAATGAAAGATTAAACAATCATCTCTTAAGCAAAATAAATAATAATAATAATAATGATATTGATTATAAATGTTAATTATTTTTTTTACCGTTTTCATTTTTGATAAATTCATTTGTTGTAAATTATTTGTAACCAATGATGATCGATTCTTATTTTCTGTTGCATTCACACTACATGGTTGAGCTAATGGAGGTAATGAAAGTGATGTTTTTAATAAAGAAGTATCATAATGATGATGATGTTGATGTTGATGATGGAGAGGTGGAGGAGCAACAGGAGCAGGTCTATTCAATCGATGAATTAATGGAGATGTTATAGATACAGATGTTTGTTTAGTATTAAATGTTGGTTTAGTAATTATAGACGATGTATTTGTAGGTGGTCTAAATCCAGCTGGTGTTTGTGTAGTATATAATTCATATTCTAATCCACCTGTAATGAAAATATATATATACATATATGGAAAGTAGAGAAATGTACCAAATTACGTTATTTAGTGTGTAAAAACAGTTAATGAATGCTGTTAAAATGTAGTGTAGATCAGAGATAGATTAGAATAGAAAAACAATGATTTTGTCCACAATGTATATTGAAAAAAGTACCCAGATTGTATCAAAGTATAAGTGAAAGTAGATAACGGTTAGCAGTAGAATTCATGAACAATGTTCCCTCCTGTTTGGGATTAGTCAGATCATTGATTGGAATAACTATACATGTGATGTGAATATGTATATGAATGGTGCGAATGGTTCACCAGGGTGCTTGGTACTTGTGTGGTTGCACCACAGGATTGAGCTGTACTATTCAGATTGTAGTGTTAAAGCCTCTACGGTGTCTAGTTCATATATGAAGCGGGATTGAGCTGTATTACCCGGTTTATAAAATTTAAGCCTGGGCGGTCTGGCTGTCCTGTTAAACGGGATTGGGCTGTACTGTTTGGGTTATCACGTGAAAGTCTAGACGGTTTCTGGTTCTCCTGAAAACCAATATAAAATTACTCTGGCCCGAAAGAGTATAGTATATAATTGTGAATAACAGATGTATGTACCTTTATCTCAGTATTTATGCTCATAATGGAACTCGAACCCAATACATTTCACTTCAAAAGTTAGTGAAAATTTATAAGAATTATTTAAAGTTCTTTACTAATATATGATCTCAAAGTATCTGTTATGGTCACTAATCACTATCAACGTGAAACCTAAAATGAATTTTTACAATGTCCCAGTTTAATAGAAATGAAATTTAATAATTGAATTCATGAGTCAATTAATGCTAGACAACCATGGAAAACCTGGAAGCAGTTAACAGCTGTTTCTTCCTACTGTGTGACTCCTCAGTAGTGCATATCCACAGTCCCACCACGCGAGGTTTGAATCCAAGACCTATCGGTCTCGGGCGTGAACGCTTAATTTTTGGACCATTGAGCCGGTATCTAGGTTGTCTAGGTGAAGGTATCATCCAACAGTTACATAAAGTTATCAGGTAATTCATTCCTGTTGGTTATTACTTTGGTAATCTGCCATTTTAAAATGAAACAATGAAAATTGAAAAAGTTTATGCTAGTCAACTTATCACAGAAGTATTGAGCGTAAGATTACAAATTCCAATTACTTTACTATTATTCTGTTGTATTTTATTCGTTTTCTAGACTTATTTTCATAACTAAAATGTATCCTGTAACTGCATTTGATTAAGTGGTTATTTAATCTTCACTAACTGATGAACGTAAAGTAGGAAAACTGAACTGTCATGAACATGATGGTTTGAGTGTAAGTTTATGCATCCACATCAGTTATGTACAATTTACGGAGCTGAGAAAATCGATATACTGCTTTGTTTTATCAGACTAAGTGATATTTAGTAGCTTGATTAATAAAAAAAAATTATGTAAGGTAAAAACATTGTATGTTCCTTCATGTTGCGCATCAATTGAAGTTAGATATTAACTTCAGAGTCAATTAGACGATTTGGACTTCACAGATGACCTAGCCCTCTTATCGCATACACATGAACAATTGCAGATAAAGACAGTCAGTGTAGCAGCAGTATCTGCATCAATAGGCCTCAACATATACAAGGAGAAAACGAAGATCCTCAAATACAATACAAAGAACAGCAATCCAATCACTCTTGATGACGAAACTCTGGAAGATGTGGAATCCTTCACATACCTGGAAAGCATAATCGATGAACAAAGAAGTTCAGATGCAGACGTAAAAGCGAGGATTGGCAAAGCAAGGACAGCATTCCTTCAATTGAAGAACATAAGCAATTCAAAACAATTGTCAAGCAATATCAAAGTCACAATCTTCAATACGAAGGTCAAGACAGTTCTACTGTACGGAGCTGAAACGTGGAGAACTACAACAACCACCATCAAGAAGGTACAAGTATTTATCAATAAGTGTCTACGTAAGATACTCAACATCCATTAGCCGGATACCAACAGCAAAAACAGCCTTCTGTGGGAGAGAACAAACCAGCTTCCAGCTGAAGAGGACATTAGGAAAAGATGATGGAAATGGATAGGGCATACATAACGCAAATCATCAAACTGAATCATGAGGCGAGCCCTAACATGGAATCGTGAAGAGAAGCGGAAAAGAGGAAGGCCAAAGAACACACTGCTTCAATAATTGGAATCAGATATGAAAAGGATGAATAACAACTGGAAAGAGTTGGAAAGGATTGCCCAGGACAGAGTTGGATGGAGAATGCTGATGATCGGCCTATGCTCCTTCACGAGGAGTAACAGGCGTAATTAATTAATTAAGTAAGTAAGTATTAACTTCGTTGAATACTGAATAACTAGTCTAGAATTTAAGTATTCACATAACGGATCAAAGGTTTTGGGGGGTTTCATCTTCAACTAATCATAAATTCTGACTTATATGGAAATTGTATAGACAGTTATCGATTTTACAATTTCGGTTATTTAATTTATATATTAGTACTTTAGATACTGCTATTATCACTACATTTGTCATCATGATTAGTTGTTTAAATGTACATAATAACGGAATGTTAGTTATACTAAAATATATAATTTCTGTCTACTGACCAAGTTAATTCAATGTAGATAATAAATAGTTAAATATCAAAGTGCTTCTGATGTATATAATTCATACATTCAATTTTACATACAAACAAAGTAAAATAAACTTGAAATAGATAAGGTGAATGTCCCTACCCTAAATATTACCCACTATAAGCGTTAATGTGATTTTAAAAAGATAGGCAATGAATAATGCTATCAAGGAGACAAACATTGAATAAAATAATAAATGTACAAGCCTACACATAAACACACATAAAATGTATAAGTATAGAATTACGAAGACATAAATGAAAGAGATATTTGTATTGACATTCATGATAGTTTATAAAGAAAAAAGATTTATCAAGACTGTAAAAATGATTTAGCGGTTACATTCTTATCTTGGCTTATCACAGACGTTCAGTGGTTTAGATCATTAACCAGTTTACGCTAGACCACTATGGAAAACCTGGAAGCACTGGACGGCAATTCGTTCTAGTATGGGACTCCTCAGAAGTGCGCATCCACGATCCCGCCCCACAGGATTCGAACCCGGGACCTATCGGTCTCGCGCGCGGGCACTGAGCTGGCCGGCATCCAACGGTGTTAATGTCTAACTTCAACTAATCCACGAAATTGAACGACACATCCACCATTGTCATCAGTGAGTTACTATCTCACAACAGACCCGGTTGAACTCCACTGGCCGCTGTTTCTCTCTAGAACTCCAGGATATACCTCTTGAAGCCAGTCACTAGTGAGCATACGTTGATTAATATCTAGCCTCAACTGACTCATTATCTCAACCATTGAAATTACTATAATATCCACAATACCTTTTCTAAGATTTATTACAAACTATTCAAAAGCTAGATTAAGTTTATACTAGTTTTATAATATCGAAGACTCTATAAACTGATCTTTATCACGTTTATAAAAATGGCATAATAATCAAGCAATGGCATAAAATAACTGATTCCTACAGTTAGTTAGTCAACATTTGAATAGTTTAGTTGTAGCATGAAGCTGAAAGATGTGAGTACAAATCTCACAGGTAACTATCAATTCCCTCAGGATAACAGATATGATTTACTGAAGATTGTTAACAAGTATAAAATATAAATCAACATAGAATTTCCTATTGGCTACTTCAAATCACCTAACAAATTTACTTTAAATAACACATTTTATCACCTATATGATTATCATTGTAAATTAGAGTATAAATATAATAACAATCCAAATGAAACGACAATATACATTAGTGATAATCTTTTCATATAATCCATTGTTTTACAATTGTAATGAGTTAGCTTATCGCTAACTTTTCATTTCTTCACTTCCTTTTTGTAATATCAACAACAACAACAACAACGATGACGACAACAATAATGAAAACACCTCCTTTATACTTAACCAATCTCCTGGGATGTTTTCCTTTTCATTTTTTAAAAAAAAAATAACACCCAGGGAAAGTTTAAGTCGTTCAATAGAGTGTGTGTAATTGAATCGATCGAAAAGAAGAGGAAAAAAAGACCAACTATTAGAGAAAATAACGAAATACGCTTTATGTGAACATATTGAGATCAATAGTTTTTCTTTCTTTCTTTTTTTTGTTCCATAGAAAAAGTTTTTCACAAAAAGAAAATCTGGTTTTTAAAAAAATTTTTTTCTCTAATTGAAAATTTTGCGTGAAATATTTTTTTGTTGTTGTGGTGGTGGTAGTGTGTTTAAACATTAAAATCATTTTCCCGTCAATTTTCTTTTTTTTAAATCAATTGAGTAAAATTTCTTAGTTTTATTTAAAAATTTAAACAGGAATTGATTACTTAATACATATCAATAGTTGAAATCAAGAGTTAGTTGAAACTAGACCACCATGGAAAACTTAGAAGAACTGGACGGTTGTTTCGCCCCATTGTGGGACTCCTCAACAGTGCGCATCCACGATCCCGCCCACGAGATTCGAACCCAGAACGAATCAGTTACGTGCTGCGCGAGCGTTTAACCATTGGACCACTGAGCTGGCAGGTATTGAACGGTGTTAATATCTAACTTCAAATAATCCACGAAATCGAGCGACACATCCACCACTGTCATCAGTGAGTTATTATCTCACAACAGACCTGATTGAACTCCACTGGTCACGGCTTCTCACTAGAATTCCAGAAAATGCCTCTTAATACATAACAAAAGACGATATAATGAATAATAAACTTTTAAATTTGAATACCTTCAGAGAAAATCTTGATTATCCTACACTTCATATTACTTGAAATGTGATGTGTACTACTGATGTCCACAGGTATCACTAGTATGCATCATTAATCGAAAATGGAATAACTGGCGGTAGAACGTTGAGAAAATCCAAGTGAAGAGAATGCGAACAGCG